ATGTGCATTGAGTTTTTCCTTTTCAGTCACCTTTTTCACTCACTATGTTTTACTAGACCTCTCTGCATTGAATCGTACTTGTTATTAATCTCTGTCTCTCTTCCACAGCATGTCTTCTATCCTGTCTAACTTCTCTCACCCCAACCGGTTGCAGCAGATGGCGCCCCTCCCTGAGCCTGTTTCTGCCGGAGGTTTCTTCCTGTTAAAAGGGAGTTTTTCCTTCCCACTGTCGCAAAAGTGCTTGCTCATAAGGGGTAATTTGATTGTTGGGTTTTTCTCTGTGTGTATTATTGTATACAATATAAAGTGCCTTGAGGTGACTGTTGTTGTGATTTGGCGCTATATAAATAAAATTGAATTGAATTGAATCTAAACATACCAGCCAGCAGATCTACTGATGCTGCTGCCCACGTGCAACACAATAAACCATGCTTTGGTGATTACACCACTATAATAAGATTTATAACTGATGCAAGACAACCTGCAGAGGAAGAGACCCAATATCTGGTCAAGTTTGTAGAAAACACACAAAACAGGTCATGGACTGAGACCTAATCAGTGAGAGGCTGGTTTACTAACAAGAGTTTTTTTTAGAAAGACTTTGTGTGGACTTCAAGAACTTTCATTGTCAGGCTTGTCCATACTGGCAAACATGATCTACGAGCTTTAACATTATTTTTGAAAGTTTTAATAATTTGTCAAAGTGCTCTAGAGGGATGCTTGCTCAGATAATGTTCTTGTAAAGTTAGAAGTTAAACCAAGACGTGATGCTTTGAGGGTAGCATTCTGAGGATGTTTTGAGAATGCTGATAATGTGCACTTTATAACATGCTCTGTGGTGTCAAATCTAACATTTTTATTTTCAAACTGGCAGACATCTGGGGACTTTCCGTGTAGTCTTTGCATGTTCTACCTGTGCCTATGTGGGTTCTCCCTTGGTCCTCCACAGTCCGGAGACAAACATTGACTGATGCAAAAAATGCCATAGGTCGAGGTCCAGAAGCTGGACACCTGCTGCCTGCCACGTCGTCGCCACACGCCACTCAGTGGCCAGATGCCAGATGGCTGATGCATGTCACCTGCCACACTGCTGCCCATCACACTGTAGCTTTATGCCGGACAGCGGAACCTGCCGCCTGTTACGCTGTCGCTGAATGCTGGGCACCTGCCGCTGGACACCTACCGCCTGCCACGCCATCGCGGGACTCCAGACAGCAGACACTGGACACCTATTTTCCCCCAGAGACTTTCAATTATCACCAGTGTTGGACCACCTAAATTCCTTTGGTTCTGTCAACACAGTCCTCCTGCTGGCGAGCTTTTAATGCACATCAGGGTAATCAGGATTATGTGTGCTCACTCCTCTGCACTCCTTTGCTCTGTTCGTGGGGCATCCACGTACTGAGCTGCACCAGCTCCCCACTGGCAATGCCCAGTTTGTCAGTAGCTCAGACACCTGCTGCCTACCACATAGGACGCTAGACACCTGCTGGACGCCAAATCTTAGAAGCCAGACTCCTGCCACTTGCCACACCATTGCCAGACACCTGCAGGTTGCCAAGCCATCACCAGATGCCAGACACCAGATGCCAAACGCCAGATGCCAGACACCATATGCCAGATGCCAGATGCCAGACGCCATACGCCATACGCCATATGCCAGATGCCAGACGCCAGATGCCAGGCGCCATATGCCATATGCCAGACGCCGGGCACCTGCTGCCTGCCACGCCGATGCCAGACGCAGGACAAAAGCCGCTTGACACCTGCTGCCTACCACAATGTCGTCTGATGCCAGATGTTGGACTGCTACTGCCTGCCACGCATTGCCGCTGGATGATGCATGCTGATGGCTGCCACATGCTGATGGATGCCGGGCAGCAGACACCTGTCGTCTGCCACGCCATTGCTGGATGCCGGACGGCCAGACACTTACTCCGGACACTAGATGCTTGACACGGAGACCTTCCATTGTCACCAACGTGGGACCACCTAAGTTCCTTTGCTTCTGTCAACTCCAGCCTCCTGCCTTGCCACCTGAAAGGGTTCATCTCCATTGCCGGCCACCTCCACCCGCCTGGGTCAAGTTAGACTCTAGAGCTTCAGACTTTTCTTTGTTCTGTTCCAGTGAATTATGTTGGTCTCGTTACTCTTGTTTTGTCCCTTCTGAGTTCCCAGCTGTCTCCATTTTCCTGATTACCCTGATGTGTGTATTTATTGTCCCAGTCTACCCTTGTCCCTGGCAGGAATGTCAGTTCATCTCCCT